ATGTTTTGCTGAAAATAAGTTTTTGAAAAATGGCTGCAGCGGTACATCAACAGATAACTTGCCAGACATTCATGCCGGATACGGAAGAGGATGTGGAACAAGGAGTATCGTTGCTGACATCAGATAGATCTTGGCTGAGAGCAGAGAACACCAGAGAGATGTTTTCTTGTGTTCCATCCACTTACGCAAAGGCATTTGACTGCGTGGACCATCACAGACTCTGCACAAGCTGATGAGGATTGGGGACTCCCAGACCTTGCATCATGCTCACTCAGAACTTGGCATCTCCAGGGCTTCCAGTCCCCGGCCTGAGAGGGGCGCAGACCTGTCCTCAGTGGGAAACCCCCTGTCCCCATCTGCGATCCCCCGGTGGCTGGCTCAGGGCAGTGGACAGGGGTGACCATCAGGACACTCTTAGGCACAGTGCCAGCCAGTCATGCTCACTGCTCTTTGTGGTTCCTCCTCTGTCCTTGGAGGGCGGGAAGGGGGACCTTAAAGGGGTAGAGAGTGGAAGGAGGAGGAGGAGAAAGAAGAAGAAAAGCCCTGCCCACCCTGAGGACTTGTCCCTAGAGTGTCCTGCTGTGGAGATGTCGTCCCATGACACATTAGGAGGACTGCAAACCCTGGACCAGTCTAGGGAGACAGGAACGGGACCCGTGGCTTCTTGGGCCCAAGGCAGGGGAGGCTGGGGGGAGGGGAAGCTAACCACAGGAGGACAAGAAAGAAGAAAATGTTCTAAATTTGATTGTGGTGATGATTGTACAACTCTTCTCCATATGGTTGAACTATCGAATTGTGTCCCAAGAAAACAGAAAAGTAAATAAAGAAAACCTGGTTACAAACCTTAAAAAAAAAAAGTGAATGAAATAAGAAAAAGAAAGGCGATTTTCCCAGGACACCCCTGAGGAATGCTGATGTGCTTACGCACACGGCTCGCATTCCATGAAACACCCGGACTTGGATACATTAGGACACAACCGCAGCCTGCCCAAAAGAGGTGGTGGCTCAGGGGCAGAGGGGGCTTTGGGGACCCTGGAGCAGGCAGGCCGGGAGAGGGGTTCTTGGCTGGGACCTGGTTCTCTGTGCTAGGCAGGTGCTGCCAGGTTCCCCCCTGTGCCTTGGGGCCCTCTATCTGGGG